TTTTTATTGAACTATTTAAATTTTCAAAATCTCTTGACGCATTTTTCTCCCCACAACAAAAACAGAAACACAAAATTTCTTTCAACTTTCCCATCTTATGACTGATCACAAACAATTTCGAATTGGAACTAAATGAAGGAAACGTTGATGTTGATTTGCTTTGTGTTCTCAAATATCGACTGAATATCGACTGAAAAGAGCACGGCTCTTATTTGTACATAATTATCATGAAATAAAGAAATAAGAAATAAGAAATAAGAAATATTCTTAGATTATGAAGGTTTATGTGAAATGGAGTTTAAAGTGTATTGGTGACGATAAGTAATTGCTTTACTTATGGTTTATATGTGCGAAACGATTAAAAGTGTAGAAATTCAATAAGAGGAAATTTAGTTTAAGTTATCTACATTGAAGGTCAGTTAATAAATTTCATTATCAATGAACTTCTTTCAACAGCATTCTTGGTAATTATGAGGGAATTTCCAAAGTTCATGTAAAATTTTATGTGAAACAGATTTCTATAAAACGATATCTTCAGGATATCAAAAATTAAATAAAGTTTTATCGGTTTATGAGTTTATCCGAATATTTTCGTTGATTGAGAGTCTACGTCGACGGAACGAATGCAAAAACTTCATAATCTAATAATGATTGATAGATTTGTTGCAATTTACCTGTACACAGAGCGTTATTACGGGTCATTATCAAATATCGTTCAGATTAATTCCAATTAGATTAGGAAAATTTAAGTTTTTAACACCTACATAAGTATTTTTAGTTTTTCTTTTTGACACCTGCTTAAATTTTTGTTTACCGTGTGAAAAACAGCAGAAAACTATAATGATTATGAGGGCAAACATCGGGAATCTACTTTCTCGTCGTCAAAGTCTCTTTCCCTTCTCTCTTCTCATTGTATAAAAAAATTCTATCTCATTTAAGAAAAATTAAATGAAAATAGTATTTCAGTTCGCGTTCAGATCTTGATAGGTGTATGACATTATAATCACAGCACTCAAAGTCCGTTGAAAGTTCTTTCGAAACTCCGTGACGAAATTTAACTGTCAGAGATCAAGTCGAGGAAAACTCTTCACAGCAATTAAATTTTCCTTCAAAGCTTATCCATCTCGAAGAAAAGTGATAAATTTTCTCATCATACGCTCGTAACTTTTTTATTTCGAAGTGCTTCCAAGTTAATTATAGAACGTGGGTTAAGTCATACGGGTGACAGAAAAAAATTTAGAAAATAGAAAAGAAAAGATTCTTCAAGGTTGTGTAGAAAGTTTGCAAACATGCGATTTTTGTTGATCTTTTCATTAATCTTTCAAATACAACTAATCCTTGGAGATTTAGGAAATCAACCAGAAAATAAACAAACATGCCCATCATGGTTTGAAAAACGGAATTTAAAGCATCAATGGGATGTTAGCAAGGTGATCACAAATGAAGTTTAATAATATTTAAAATCATAATCAATTGAACTTATTTAAAGTTTTCGGGTTTATGGAATGGAGTCGAAATGTTCTCTCACAATCAACACAATTCACTTAACGACACTTGCATGAGGTTGAATGTCATGGAGATTAGTAATGTAAGCTAACTAATGAAAGATTTTTTAATTGAATTCAAATTAATTTCTTATCTAGGATGGTTTTTCTGAATCAATGACACGCTTTCGGCTTCAGTTTTCATATGAAACTTACACAGCTATTTATTATGCGTCGATTGATCCAATGAACCCAACATATTGGAAAGGAGATGAGATTGCCGCTAAAGTTGTGCATTCAAAGGACGACACACTTGCTTTGATTATTTGTGAGATTCAAACTTCTTACTTGTACACGATTTTTTTGCAAAAGAATTATGAAGACGAAATTTTCTCAACTACCAAAAATGCCGCACTCATTGATAGAATCCTCGAATTTCGTCAACTTAGAGTTTATTCAACTGCGAATTTACATACAAATTGTTCTATGGAAGATGAAAGTGAAAGAATTGTAAATTATGTCGAAGCTTCAGCAGCAACAAACGCAATTTCACTGATTTTTTTGTTAACATTTGAAATTTGTTTCTTTAAATTTTTCTTATTCTGAGATTGACAAGAATTTTGTAGAATTTTATTTAGATTGATAGTGGAATGGAATTTCTTAATAAAATTTACAAAAAATGTCTGCATAAAACGTTCACCTTTTGGTTTTCTCAAATATTTTGTAAGAATTAACTTGCGAAACATGAAATATATGAAGAAATAAAAAAGTTTTTATAAATAGCGTGATGTTTACCCGCACTAATAATTGATAAAATCTTTAGGAAATCTTCACGTTCTCCTGTGGATTTTGCATGGTTCAAATAGTTTTAATGAAGTAGAAATAAATAATGAAGCTTAATCTGTACATTCTAAATTTAGTTACATTCATAAACAACATCAACACAGCTTCAAACTTTCATTATGCATAATTTCTTATCTAATGAATTCAATACAAAATTAAAGGGAAAATATTTCAACCTCGTTGTGCTCTCTAAATTTATTCAATTATTATTAAATAGTTTGAATATTCTTGACAACCTCGACCTTACAAATCTTTTCCCTTGAGGGTTTCGTAAGTAGAAAAGTTTCCAACTTATCGACGAACTTTAAAGGAAAACTTTTTATTTTCTACCTGATTTTTTTATTCATGTTTAGATCCTAATATAACTAAATATTTATAAGTAGAGTAAGTGACAAGAATCGCAATTTAAACAGGTAGCAAGCTTTTAAAAATAAATAAAAAAGCATTTGAAAGAACTGGCGACGTTCCTGAATGGTCATATTAAAGTTTATATTGATTCCAATTCTGTGACATGCTCAATTACCTCACTGATGACGTCAACAAAACCTAAACAAGATTTTTTATATTTTATTCTCTTGTGGATTCCGAAGATTTTCGCATATTTTCCCTCGTGAATTTTCCGACCATGTGACTTTTCGTGCTTCTCTTGGAGTGAGTGGAAAGAATTTTCGCTCTGAGAAAACTTTTTTCCTGAGCGATCAACTGAGAAGAAAACTCAAAAACAAAATCGTCATCTTGCAGTTCATAGCGAGATTTTCGTTAGTTAACAACGAAATCGGGCGTGGAAAAGATTATTTTTGAGTCGTCAAATGAAAAGAAAATCAGAAAAAGATTTATGAGGAAAAAGAAGAAAGACTTTCAGTTGGAATCTATTTTCCGAACTCTACATTATTTGTGTTTTATTTTGCCTTAGTTATCGTTTTTTGTATGTCTCAGTGCAGTTGTGAAAGGAAAAAAGCAGAAAAGTCAGTGAAAAGTTTACCTTTTCTTGTTGTAATAAACTTTGCCGCATAATCATTGCGTGGGTGATAAAAGTATAAACAAGCAATATTATTAATAATCAATTCATAGTTAGTTTTTCGATTTCATTGAAAAATTAATTAACAGTTGAAAACGTGAAGAAAAAAGACGGAAAAACCGCACATAGTGAATATCGTAAAAAAATATTTTTAGAAAGAAAAACAAGGAGGAAACTTAGTAAAAAAATTCAGTTAATTTTCTCTCGATTCTCGTTTTGTTGTTGATAAAAATAGAACGAGACGGAGTGTAAGTAAATTATTGCGAAATCTGTTTATAAGTTTAAAAGGGAAAGTAAGCAAGTTGAAGCGGCTAACATTCGAATTAATTTTTCACTATTAACTTTGGCTTCATTCCTTCTGTTGTGATAACAACATTTTGTGCTTTAATTTGATTTGACTGTGAAAACAAATATTTTGTTTGAGGAAAAACTTTTGAGTCATAAGTTTTCTTTCCTATTTTTCACAATAAAGAGAAACGAAATGCCTCGCCTTGAGAAGAAGCCGTCAAACTTGTCCACATAATTTTTAGTAAACATTCGAGGAATTTCTCGACACGAAAAATTTCGCGAAAAAAAATTCTGTCATGTTGAATGAGAAATTGCTAGCGAAAATTGCCGGCAATGTGTAACAGTAGAAAAATTTCATTTCTCAGATTTAATGCGTTTTAAGTAGAACAAATAATTAATAACTTAAACTCTCTTTAGTTTTATAGTGTAAAGTTTGCAGATTTTGTGTTGTAAAATTAGAAAATTCTGCTTTGCACTCAAAAGAATCAAAAGAAAAACTTTATCTTAAATTTGCATTTTCAATTTTCTTCTTCAATCCACATCGTTGACATAAATCATTAGCAAAGTTATTAAGAAATCATTCATTGCAGTTCACAGACCTCGTGTAATTTCTAATTTCAATAATTTTTTATTTGAATAGATTTACAAAATAAACTAGAAAAATATCGTGCTGCCAATGAAATATTCCTGATTTCATTTTCCAACATGCAATGTTTTCATTAAGACCAATTACTTCCTTTTTCTTTCTTATTTTACCCTCTGCTGTTTCTTAATCTTATTTTCGCCATTTGTAATCAAACAATTTGAGCAATCGCGATTTTGTTTGCATAAATCTTTGTGATTTTTTTTATTTAATATTAAAGATTTAAATAGAAATGACATGAAAGTTATTTTGCATATTTTCCCTTTCTCTTTAATACTTGAAAGTTCAAGCGAGCGATAAAAACATCTTTAAAGTGATTTTCTAAAAATTAAACGTGGAAAATTCGTTCTCCAAATTGATTCTCCCTTTCTCATGAACTTTCGTTGAACAACATAAAGATGTAATTGAATCTTCATATGATTTCCATCCATTACATAAAATCTACACTCAGACTAAGCAAACTTTTTCAATTTAACCTCATCCTAAGATGAACTCGTAAGAGATTAGATTTCGATTGTAGAAATGGGAAAAAAATAAAAGAAATAAATGGAACAATGAAGCACAACGATGACGTCAATCGAGTGTTTCGTTCTCACAGATGTAGAAGCAAAAGAAAATCATGTGGAAAACATGAGAAGAAGTGAAAAATCTTCATGGATGAGTATTTAAGCGAGAGTTGGGCGAGAGGGAGAGAATAACAAATGATTACTCATCACAATACTGTGCCGAAGCTAAAAATAATTCATCCACATTGTTTGATGTTGTTGTCGGTTGCATGATGCTTCTTTTTTATGGCACAAAGAGAGAAAAGAAAATAACATGAACAGAAAATCGAGTTCATTGTGTTTATTCCCTCTTCAAGCGATGCTTTCCCCGTCTTTTCCGGTACTTGTGGCGATTTTTCTGCGGGTTGGGGACAGATGGAAATTTTCCCCGACTTGCTGTGACAACGGTCAGAAGGGAGAAGAAAAAGAATCACACAAATGAAAGTCCATAAATTTTATTTTCATTTCCTTCTACCTTAATCTAGAAGTAAAGGGGAGAAAAAATGGCTTTGGTGATGTTGCCATGCGAATTGCCTTGGTGGTCAGTTGTGGTGAGAAAAATAACAGCGATTGAAAATACCGACGACATGGAGAAGATTCTTGAAATTATGCAAAAAATTCACGATTTATGCAAGTGAGTTTTAAGCAATTTTTTATTAAATTTTTTACTTTAAGTTTGCAAAAACTTTTCCAGCATAAGTCTTGATCCCGATGAAGATCACATGGATAGCACAGTTTTTAATGGACTCCGACAATTTATCAACGAAATGGAAGACATGGAACGTGATAAATTTCTTAATCACACCATCAAAATCATCTGTCGCTATGCTAAAAACCTTAAACAGTATCGACCTCCACGTGGAATGAATTTCAGTCTTCAACAGAATATCGACAGTGTGGAGTTTGATGTAAAATTTGTTGCAAGGTAAATGAGAAGAATTTGAAATTCTAGATAAATATTCATAGCTAAACGAGTGTTTAATTTCAGTTTATTAGCAAACTCATTCTTCTCAACATATCCGAAACGTACCACCAAGACTCATCCAACGTTAAAAGACTTTAATTTTACACATTTCTTCAAAGAACTGAATACGTAAGTAAGCTAAACATATCATGTTTCATACCCAAGAAACTTTTATTTGTCTGCCGTCTTCAGATGATGAAAAATATTTATTTTTATTCAAGAAATGTTTGCAATTATTTTATGAAAACAATTCACAATAAATTATTAAGATGAACTGTGTGGGACGTTGTGCGTAAAAAAGTCTTCATAAATTTTTCTAAGTAACGAAATTCTCCAAAGTCTCTGTGTCAGTTGTCCTTTCTTAAAAGTAAACTTCTATAAATCAACATACGTAAATTAAATTTCCTTCCCAGGAACTCTCAAAAGGCCAAATTTCGAAGCTTTTTATGGTATTTCGAGTGGTTGGAGGCTCAACAACAAGACGAATTAGATAGGAAAATTAAATTATCGAGAAAGGTCAGGAAAATGTTTTTCTTTCATGAAACTTATGTAAAATTATTAAATTTTTGCATAAATCTTTTCATTCAAGGTGTTAACTGGAAAACAATGGCTAACAATTGAAGACTGGATAGAATGTAAACTTCCTTTATGTCCAGTGGATGTTAAACACGATTCAAGATTAGAAAACGCTTCAGAAGCAACTGCTCAAGTTATTTTCTCTCAAACAGCTATTGGTGCGTCTGTTTTAATGAATGGAACCAATCAAGAGTCAATTCAATTCATAACTCATCCAGAACTTCTCATAATATTACTTTTCGTCGAGAATCTTGAAGATAACGAGACAATATTAGCTGAAAATGTTGTTCAAGTTTCACGGATTGTTGACCCGAAAAACAAAGCGATTCTTGAGAAACTCATAAAACCAAAAAAAAAATCGTCAATGATATGTATGGATGCTGAAAGTTATGAAACTTTCCCCCCCAGTCAATACGAAGAAGACAATTGCCTTCGAGAACTCAACAAGTGCCTTTTGGCATTTCGGCAAAACACCTGTGCACCAATGTCATCGAAGTTGTTAAGAATTTTAAGTAACCAAAGTCACAGCAGTCGAGACCATAGGGGTCGATTATCGCCAATTGGAGAAAGTTTCACATTGTCTGGGAAAAGCAGCATAGATTGTGCAACGAAAATTCATATCGAACCCGTCTCGCCAACAACTTCAACACCCACAACATTTGGCTCTCAATTGAATTTAGAAGAAACCAATAAGAGAAGGTCTTGGTTAAACTTACCAGAAAATAAATCAAGAAGTCAGAATAGTATAGAGAATGATAAGCAAACGAATGAAGAGAAGAGAAGAGGACGATTTATTGTGCTTGGTTCTTCCGGCGAATGTCTTCCAGTTAATCGAGAATTTTCTACAAAAACTCAAAGTAAATCTGCGAGTTTTTTCGCCAACGGCGATGGAGAATCAGACGATGATGAAGTTTTTTATAGTGCGAGAAATTCCCTGAACGAAGAAGAAGAAGACTCTGATGATAGTCGAGACGATTTCTTTGATCATCAACGTTATTCAATTGAACTTGAAACGCCCGAGAATCGTTCAAGATTTGCGCAACAATTGAAAGATGCATTGAAGCTTGAAAACGGTTACACTGAAAGTACCGAAGATTGTTCAATGAATGAAGATGATTTCAGTGATAACTACGCTGTTGATATTAATGTTGAGGGTTCGCGAATGCATGACAAGAAAATTAAAATAAGACGTGGTAATAGCACAGGTTTCATTCTGGAGGATGACGATTCACTTGATGACTGTCGAATCCTCCCACGCATGGATATGAAGCGATCAAAAATTAAGAGAAACAAGACAGGTGATTCATCCAAATACAGTTTCGATACAGAAGCTTCAGAATTAGAAGAAATCTACGATCAACTTGCCAAATGGCTTAACGATCCCCTTGACAATAAAGAGAGAAAGTTAGATGAACGTGACAAAGCTGTGCTTAAATTTGCCGATTCTCTTCTTAAACGAGCTTTATCTGAAAGTTTCATTGGCGAAGTAATTGACGACTCGACACTTGACAGCATACATGATGATGATACTAATTTGTCAGTTCAGCAGAAACGTAAAATGGTTTCAAATTTCCGCTCACTATCCCTTGAAGTTGCCAAACATAAAAATCTTCTTTCTTCACAATTGGTAAGACTTTTTGTTTTATTTTATTTCATGAATTAAGAAGAGAAAGGAATGTTTAAAGTTTTCTGTCCAGAATTTGTTTTGGAATGTCAATTTAGTTCCAATTTTGTTTAGAGCTTCATTTGACTGTAGTTTATTTACTTCTTTATTTGCGCTACGATTTTGAATTTCGATTAGAATCAACACAATTCACCTGAGAAATTTCGTAAATTCGTCGAACAGAAAGCAATGGAACGTGAACGAAAAGTTAAAACAATGAGAAGAAAGTGGTCAATTACGACGATGATGATGGAGGAAAACATTAAATGTGATGTAACGTTAAAGGTAAAAGGTTTCGCTTTCCATCATCGTGCTTTGCAATTTTCGAGTTCATGTTCGCTAATTTTGTCTTGTGCTCTTTCTTTTCTATTCATTGGTGGTTTTTTACTGCCGCTTGTAATTTTTTTGTCGTTCATAACTTTTGATCTATTTAAATATTCTAAGGAAAAAGAAAATTTATTTGCAGTTAAGTCAGAAAAATTTTCATCTCAACGCAAATCTTCGATCAATTGCAACGGGTTCATGGGGTTGCGGCAGTCAACAATCAGGTGATCCACAATTCAAAGTCGTGATTCAATGGCTTGCGGCGAGTGTTGCTAATGTGCCAACATTGATTTATTACACATGTGCGAAAGAGAGTTTGAGTAAATTAGATACGGTCGTGAGGGTGTTGCACGGTGAGTGGTCTTGAGAATCTTCTCCCAGTGGAATTCATGTGTGGATTTTGAAATATTGAGAAAGTTTTCTGATCCCATTTCAATTCACCCTCATTTAGATCGCAAATGGACAGTCGGGGAACTGCTTAGGCACACACTATTTTATGCGAAAGATATTCTCAACAATCCAACCAACATCAATGACAAGAATTTTTGCCTCTTCGACAAGCTCATTGGATTGGAAAAAAGCAATTGATGGTGAACTTTTAAAGACATGAAAGGCAGTTTTTCTATCCACCAAAATTTAATGAATTTTCCAAAAAAAAAACTTTTCTTTTGTTTTATAAAATTTATGGTAAGAAGAAAAATAATACTTGTGAACATTAGCGTCTTCCTAATCAATGGAGATTTTGAATAAAAGAACAAACTTTGTCAATTATATTTTCTTGCCTTTTCTTCGTCGTTTTTATATTTTTTGATAGACATAAGATAAAGGAAAGGGGCGAAAAACATTCATAGGGTTTTGAAATCGTTGAAAACATTTGAAGCTCTTTTAATGCTGACTTATTTGGAATAAATTTATGGCGGAATGTCAAAGTTTGAGTGTTTTCAGGATTTTTTTTTCGATATTAATGCCTTTTGTTTACATTTAAAGGTTTATTCAATTAAATAAAGTTGTTGAAATGCCTTAAACACTGTACAATGACATTTTAAATCAGTTATATCAATGAGTGATAAGAGAAAGCGCTTCTTAAACATGAGTTATAATTTCTCTCCAAAAACTTCTAACGATTTCACAAATCTCCAAAAGTATTCAAAAATAAATATTTTCTCCTCAAAGTCAACATTCTTGCAAAGTCTTTTGAACAATACCTACGTGTGTTATTATTTTTCCTTGAATACAGAGAGGAAATTTTCAGGAAAAACTGCAATATATTATGAATCAGTGATAATAATTTAACTTTATACACCATTAATAGTTGATGTATAAGGTGTTCAAAACATTAAAATAAATAATAACATCTCTAAAACTCAATGCTAAAGACGCAATATGTGTGTTAAAAAAAATACATAAAAAGTTGCTTTTTATTAAAAGAAGTAAAAAAAGTCATAAAATTCAAGTGAAAAAAGTAAGAATAAGAAAACAACCAAAGCAAAATTATTCAAAATTATTCTCGATTTCGTAGAGAATATAGAAGTGTTTAAAATTAAAATTAAATCAAATGAAATAAATTTTCCATAAGGTCAATCGAGTGAAGATTCTTCCCAAATGGTGAAATGCGATTAGAATTTCTCATTCTATAAAGGAAATCATTAATCATTTGGTGCAAGTAAAGAAACAAAAGGCAGTGGAAGCAAACAGGAATAATTTAATGGAATTCTCCGAAGACATTTTCATAAGAGGCATTTCAAGTGTTGTGTTTATCGTTTAGTTTGGATCGCAAAGATAACGAGGATTAAGTATCCCTTTTACACAACATCCAAAGAAATTTGCTGTTGTTTATTTGCGGACCTAAGTAAAAGCAACTAAATACACCAATTTCGGATTTTGTGTTATTTTTTTTATGTGTGTTTTGCTAAGAGAAAAAGCCAAGCATCAGGAAAAGGGATTGGAGCATGTAAAAACACAACAAATCAAACGGGATTTAAAAAATAGGTAACAATTTCCCTAACAAATTCTTCGTTTATTGTTCATACAGTGAAAGTCTCTATCCGAGAAAAGTTCCATAAAGTGTGCTGTAAAGAACGTCAAAACGTTCGTTTTACTTTTAATGGAAAAACTTTTCTTCTCTTCTTTTCATTTTGCCGTCGCTAAAATCGATAAACAGCATTAGCTTCTCAATTGTGTAGTAATTCTCTTTCCGTCGCTCAGACAAACATTCACTGTATGTTCAATTTATCCGACAATACAATTTTTTTAATTATTTAATTGGACACATTTATGTTATGAACTGAATGGATGTTGCATGGTGGAGGAGAACAAATGTTTGTGGAACGAGCTTAAGGGGTTGAGAGGCGAGAAAAGTCTGGGAAAATTTTCCGTCGATTGCCAAAAGCCTAATGAAATAAAGAGTTATTGGTATTTTCCACCCAGATTGAGGGAATGAAAGGAATTCTTAATCTCACTCCTTTCACATGAAAAATAATTCCCAAGAATTGCATCAATGAACATTTTTCCTTCTCAATTTTCTCTGACACATAAATTCGAAGCTCTTTAAGAATATGAATTGAAGTGTCTTGGGATTTCTCATCTCATTCTTCTCTTTGTATTTGGCATACACATGAAGCCAGCATAATTTTATTCGAGAAATTGAATAATTGAATTTCAAATGTTTAAAGCGATTGAAGATTGATTTTACGCAATTTAATTGACGGACGGATTCTTTAATCGAGATCGATAATGTCGTAAAATAAGCAAGGAATAAGAGTTTCAAAAACTTTGATGAAATATTCATTCATTTGGTGCTGCTGAGGGTAAACCGACATAAGTTTGTTACGTTACGAAATTTAATTCCAACTTTTTCCCTAAGATTTCAAAAGTTTTCCTTCTTTCTTTTACATTTTATTTACTCGACAATTCTTCTTACTGATAGTTTTACGTTTAATAAATTCTTCGTTGAAAAAATGTTCAATTACATTATTTATTTAGCGATTTCACTAAAATTTGTAAATAATTTTCACTCAAAGACATGTTTTTCCAAGAAAATCTATCTCAAGTGTTGCTGCCTCAGGAGCTTTCTCGTTCCCAGCACGTTCCTCGTTCCATCTTTACAAATCCCTTCCGTCTCCACTCCATCTCCGTCACATTCCCAAAGGGCTCCCAAAAGTTGATCAAAAAGTAACTTATCTTCCTCTCGACTTCTACCGTCACTGCTTCTTTCTCCTCACTGCTGAGAGAAAATGAAAAGGAATAAAAAGATGTGAAATTAATAAATGCCACAGAGCAGAGCAAAGCTGAAAAGCAAAAAAAGTTTATTTCATGCTCCCAAGATGGAATTTTCTTCTCATTCCATGCTTGAATGTTACATGTTTGATCCTCCCAGCTACCACTGTAAGTCACAATCAAATGTTGAAACGTAAAAACCTGTTTTATGCCTTCTCTCTTAACTTCAATTTTAAACAACTTTTTTGCTCTTAAAATATTTTTCTTATTTAAAGTTTCATCCCGAAAAACTACGAAATTTTGCGCTCTTGCTATCGTCGATTTCAGATTACTTTTTTTTATAGCTTTTAGTGCTTCTCTTTCTGACTAGCTTTGAACTATAATCTATCTCGCTCTTCCGCTGCACTGGTGTTGCGTGGCCTGAGACCTTTTCATCGTCGTCCACAGCACACATACACTTGACGAATCACGTTCCACATACACATTCACGATTCATCGCATATAAATTCGAAAATGATGGTGTAGGCATTGGACGTGTATCGAGACTGAAATATATTATTAAAGTTTTTTTTATGCTTTTCTTTGAAAGCGGCCAAAGATAACAATGAGTCGCATTTTCAAACATTATATGAAACAAGTTTTTCTTCAGCTTATTTTCTCATTCCTTTCTTTTCAAGATTGTTTTACTGATTTTTATGCATAATATGTGCACATTTTAGAAACAGCGACTAAAGATGTAAATGCACAAAAGTGCTTTCTTCCCTTCCCTAAAATAACTTGAAAACTTAAAACGTACAATTTAATGTTTAAGTGCATTTAAGAACAAAGCAAAAAATACTTCACGCTATCATCACAAGATTGTGCTTAACTCTTCTTCTTTTGGTCTCCAACGTTTAAAAGTCACAAACTGCAGAACACTTTTTGGCTTTTTTCGCTATTCAGCACCAGTTATCTCATCTTGTAAGATGACAACTAGGAAAATCCCTATGAAAATTATTTCTTTTTTCGCGTTCTGGCTTTATCTTGAGGGGGTTGCTTTGACATCTGAAGCATTCCTTTGCTTTAAGGCATCTCACTACAAAAGGAAATGAAAAAGAATGAAATCATTCGTTCAAGTGTTTGTTCTCCTGCCTGTCGTCCCCATATGCTGTGCTAGCTTTTTTTTTTTGCTTGCTTCATTCCATCGTTTGTTTGTGGGTGGACATCCGGTTAAAATATAGCAAAAGAAGAGAATGAAAAAAGAACGCATAGCGATAACCTCCCCAAATCTTTCCGGCTCAAGTTTTACTTTCTTTCATATACATTTTAGACTGGTAGATGGAGGATGAGTACAAAAAGAAACTTTTCTTTCGAAATAAAAGTTATAACAAGAAGTTGAATCAGAATGTATAAATTTTAGATTATCTCTTGCCTTTCGACTCAAGATTACCGGGGGTTTTGTGTGCCTTTTTTCTTCGTCTTCTTCCTTTTATGAGATGAAAAATTTTTATGACTCAACAGGGATAATGAACGTGTGTGTGTGGGTGTTTCTATGTATAAGAATGATAAGAAGTGTGAGATATAATAGATGAGATAACAGTGAAGGTGTCTGCCATGCGATCGAGCCAACGTCGGCGACAGTCAGCAAGTCAAAATAAATGCCAATCGATAAAAATACCGTACAAGAGAGAAAACTTGAGTGGAAAATCAGCTGTTGCATATTTAATCGTTTTCCGAACATTAACTACAGTACGCTTTAACAATGTCGTGTCGTGTTTGATTAAAGAATGAAAGATTTTCTTATTCGATGCTTGTTTTTCCAAGTAACGTTGAAATTTTTATGGGGCGAGCGAATGAATTTCGATTTTCCTCATTGATATCAATGGGGAGAAAGAGAAAAAAAGTAACAATTTATCAGGATATAAATGACACGCTTGATTTTATTATGAGATATTCTAACAGTTTTCCAAATCTTCGATCTGCTTTACCCCAAGAAAGAAAAAATAAGCGTCAAGTCTTTGTCAAATCTCTTATACATGTCAGTTATAGGAAAATTAAGATGAGAAAATATCCAATGCGTTAGTTTGTGATGTAATAAAATGTTTGCTGTTTGGTTGTTTTGTCACACATTGTGTGATCTGATGTTAGGCATAAGGGAGCGTGGGGTGAACAAAACATCATTTCCAACAATTTAAATGGGTAGAAAATGACAACAAAAATATACGAACATAAACATTTAAGTAGCTCAGAGAGAGAAATGAAAGGAAGAAAAATCTCCCCAAAAAATTTGTAAGACGTTCGTTCGTTCTAATGGTGAATGAAAAATGTTCACACGCTTGGAATTTCCATTTCTTGTTGTTCTTTGTGCCTATAGCCCTCATCGTTTATGAAAACGAACAGAGAAATATTAAAGATTAAATGAGGATTTGTACAGAAATTATGGTAATAAAATTATTAATAAAAATTTACATAAAAATTCCATTACGAAAACTGGTGGAAATTGAAACTGTCGCGAGAGTCGTAAAGCATTCAATTTCCATTCTCTTATTTCTTAACCTCATCGACAAATTCTGCCCTTTAAGATTCCACCAGCCGTCGACACTTCTAACAGCCAACAAAGATCTAATAAAGAATTTTATGAAAAATCAGTTTTATCTCCTGCTATGGAGCTTGGTGAGAAATTATTAATAATAATCTATCAGCATATCATTCTCCTCATTAGAGAATTTGCTTCGTCAGCGTTTTTCCCGGGGGTTATAAGAAGGAAAAGGAAGAAAGCGTTTTCGTTAAGGAAGGAGAATATCACCATCGCATATTTTTCAATTAACTTTTCCCTTCTCAGTTATGGACGCACGTTTCCACCTTTGATAATCTCACCTGGAAAACATTCTTGCACCCTTTTATTTCAGGTCTCCCCTTTTTCCGTCATAATTGCGTAGTTATTTTTACTTTAATAACAAATTTTCTTCTTTTACTTCTCCCGTCGTGAATCTTTTTTCCCATCACGCAGAACTTCTGCGTCCCAGTAAGATGAAAATTAATTTATTATTTCTCCTTTCATCAGAAGTTTGTCTCCCTCTTATACAATTCTGGATCTCCTTCCATTTTCCATGTACGAATGAAAGGAAGATGATGGAAAACATCTCTCTTAAGGATTCGAGAATCATCAAATCGAAATGAAGTTAATTAATAATCTTTCTCGATTCGTATCCAATTTACTGGGATTTTGATTGAGATTTTCTCTTTTTCTCATCGATATCGGAGTTGTTTCATGCAAGCAGAAGAAGGCAAATGATAGCATTTATTATTTATGGGCTTTTAATTAATTGACAATTATTTAAGATTGGTGATATTTTTGTGTTCACTTAGATGAAGGTGGAGCGAGAATATTTATATTTGTTTACCCATAAAATTTTCACTATTTACTTGAATAGTTTCTGAGGGTTGAACTGAAATTAATAATCATATAGAAAGTTTATTCATTTGAGAAAATAGAAACGACTTTGAATGATATATTTTGTGTGAATTGAAAAAGGTGCTCTTAGTGGATTTTAAATAAACATTTAATTATGGTTTGGGCTCAACTGTGATATTTCTCATATATGTATAAGTTCATGTTGATATGTCTACAACAGTTTAGGATCGGAAAATATTAATTTGTTAACTGTCGATAAACAACACTGAAAGGATCTCTAAACATTAGAAACTTGTTGAAATAAAAATTATTTAAAGTGACATTTGCAAGGCGTGGGTGTTTATTTGTGGAATTCTCTAGCGGTAAAGAAGCAACCACGATAAAAATCTGATCTCGGTTTTTGGGAAAAAATCTCCCACGATATAAGAAATTTCGTGATTATTTCAATTTATTTTAAAGTTTCTTTGAATCAATGTTTATGTTTATTAAATTTAATAATAGCGAAAGATATTAAAATCATTATAAATAATTATGTAAAATTACTTATGTGCTGGAAATTAATATTCATAAAGCTTCAAACAATCACACAATGATAAAATCGAAGTTATT